AATCTCATTTTCATTTATTCACTTATTCACATCCTTTATTCATGATTCAACACTACACCAAATCACCCTGAGATTTCAGAAGACCAAATATGCCATCTCAATGACACCACTTTGGAGACTTTCCAGCAACCACTGACGACATCTCTTTTCACCACCAAAAAACAAACTACATTCAATTACCGGCCGCCTCCTCAACATCATCCATTTTTAAGCATCAACATCGAACTGCGAACTCCGGAGCGTTCCGTCCGGTAGCCAATCTAAGTTGGGTTGCCGTACCCAATTTAATGGATTTTCTGTAATATGTGATTTCAGTATATATCAGAGACTACGCCTTTACTTTAAGGAATCAGTTTGGCGATGTATATAGGATGTACTTGTGCAAGTAATGCCACCCATATGAATGTTGCTTGTGACGACCAACCGCAATGCCACGGTAAATTACGATTGGGCGAAGTAATTTAAACTGCGTGACTGCGGAGCATCCCATCCCAATATTGTTCTTGTGATCATAATATGACTCGCACACTACGGTAGCACATGTACTGCTGAAACAACACGTCTAAGAAAGGTACAATACATAACTACGTGCAATATGTTTTACTAATATCGGAAAGTTATTACTTGCTAATTCATGAAAAGCACAGCTTTGTTTAGCAGAGATGCAGATATCTATGGCCACAACTGTCCTGTATATAAAGGCCCATTCGTTTCGAATACCAATAACTCTGAAATTTACTTCAGAGAACATCTTAAAATCCATAGAATAGGCAGGGTTTAGTGAATCTGAAGTGTTCCTCTGTGCTTATGATCGATCGAACAACACTCCAAGAAAAGGAAATAAATTTACTTGTGTTTATTTTCATGTTAGTATCGTTGTCTCATGACGCCACCGTTGATGTAGAAGAGCTCCCAAATAGCTATGTTAACCGCACCTCACACGATCAGGTTTCAGTGCAGTGACAACATTCAACGATCGATATTGTTAATTCAATCGATCTCGATTATTCTGTTTCAGCTTAAGTGTCCAGTGCGTTTACATGTAATAAAATACTTCCATGACAATGATCGAACGCTCGTGGGCCCATCTCTCTCATAGCTATTTATACACAAAGTTGTATTGTAGCGTTTTAAATTGTTATTTTATTTACTAAAATATCCATACATTTAAGGCTGTTGTAACGTTAATCAGGTGTGCGAGTCCATGCGAATAATGTTAGCCTATGCTGGAGTTACTATTTGTTACACTTGTTGTGGCTTATGCTACAAGCGCAATAGAGAATATGACCAAGTTACAACTTCATAACAGTATTTGTAGATGAATCTGTATCAATCAATTCAGACGTTAATATAGTCGTTGTGGCTCCAATTAACGACTATTACGTCTGAATTGTTTCCTAGTAATAATGTTCTTATTGTGTACCAGCGAGCTGTACAGGTTTGCCCATCAAGCTTGTAACATCAGGCCATTCTCATTTAGGTAACTCCTCAGGTTCATTTATAACGATAGCCAACCATAGTTCTGATTCAAGCTCGTAGTTTACGCAGCGAGTGCTTAAAAATGTACTTTTCCGACATAACCGTCAGGGTACCGTTACTGGAGCGTATCCCGTAGGATTTTGGGACGTCCCAAATCACCTCGTCCGAGATCTAGGACGTGGTGCTCCACCCGCAGCGCTATGACATACATTCTGAGAAGTAGCTGGCTTGATCGCTCTGCCTGTGGTTGTTGGGCTGACCAACTCTTCCACCTTCATCATAGTGCGGTGCCCCATCCGACTGCTGAGTACTCTCGTCGGGCTGTGCCGGATCACCCGAGCGGTCATTTGCTGATTCCTGTGTTCCACCACGGCAATCATCAATATCGTCGTCATGCTCTGTTTTCTCTGCACTCTCGGTTGCAACATATTAACGTTCATCTAACGGAGAGAGAGCTTATGGCGGAGAATCATAAATTTTAAGAAAAACACAGGATAAAACAATGATTTAGGTTAATGGGGAAAGGTCTGAATTTACTGCTTTAACTATTCCCGTAGTCTCCGTCGAGTTGGTGTTGGTGCTTGTTGAGAATAGCTTTGGCCAACATTCACCATAAATAATTTACTTTCGTTTTCGTTGTTTAACGATGATGTTACACTTGGTTGCCACAAGCAGCATTCATGTGGTTCGCAATAGTTGTGCTAAGGGAATAAGATATAAAGTTATGCCGTACTTGATTAAATTAAAGATCTTGCTTTAGGTACGAGCAGATATGAGGTGTATATAATATCAGGAGGGAAAACTCATTACGACTACCCGGGGTAATATTATATAACATAATATTATTAAATATATAAGCAGTATTAAAATCAATAGGAATTAATTGCAAGGTTCGGGTAACTTTAGCAGTTTTTTTGCTCTTGACTATTGTATTCTACAGCAGTGAAACGCTGGGTGAGAACGTTCTGAACGCTTCCTCGCGTCGTATATATATTAAAAAAAATAATTGATACTTTGAAGCAGTCCTCAGCAAGAACTCCCACATTTAATAAGCGAAGAAGGGAAACCTCTTCCTTTGGCCGAGAAACTTTTGGGCCAACGGATCGAGTTGCCGAGTGGAGCACGTTTTGACTGGGACGCGTCGACGGCGAGAATGGCATTGGTAACCGGAAGACACTTCCGAGAAAAAATGCTGATGTCGCTACTGAAGATACTGGGCAACTTGGATGATGTGGCGTTCGTGCTTGGTAGTAGTTTTCCTACTGTAGATATGAAGCTGTAAACCCCATAGGACTACGCTGCCGATCATCGACAGTGTGATGGTAAAATAACACTTGGTCGTAGCGATGAATGACCCCTCTGGGCCATTCTCCAATCTCACAAGACGGACATCCAAGCCGTCATGGCGCAGAGAAATCGACCTCCAAATCTCAAGCATCGCTGGGATGCCCGAGCCGCTCTTGACCATGACACTGGAGGACATCGTTGCTTGCAGAAATAAGAGCTGCTTACTCGATGGAGATGGATCTGGCAGTACAGATGCTGTCGAGGAAGCATTGAAGCCGTGACGGAAGCGGGCGAAATACTCGGCCACAACGTTTCACGGGGTAGTTGTTGACAATGAATCAGCCGCCGGTACTGCTGATCGAGACGCGTTACCTCGACCTTCAATTCCTCAACACTGTTCTTGAAGGCAACAGAGTGGATACAGCTTTGCTCGGTATCGGCATTGGATATCTCGTCGACTCTGTCGAAGAAGCAGGAGGCATCGATAGTCGTCAGCATCTGTACGGTCATGGTCGTGATCTTCGGATCTTCTGGATCTTCTAGCTACTATCCTCACCATTGTCACGATAGTTTCGGCGGCGTTGATCGTTTGGTAATAAATTTCAGTGACCCTGAATAGCTCGTAGTAGAGCCTCGATCAGGTCAGTCTGCCAACAGCAAAGTTTTGTTCATTACTATTACCTTGATCTTCCAAACATCCAAGACCTGACTGTCAGTGTCGTTGGCAGTGTGAGATACCATGTCACGTGCTCTCCAACGAGGTTAAGTACTGATGAGTTAGGGTTGGGTGAAGCGAGACAAAACCCCACAGACACCAATGTTTAGTCACGAATAATACCATATGTCTGGATCAACTTCCTTTACCGTATGTATTGCAATTTTCGACACAGAATGGAAATTTTCCTGTTGAGAAGGAAAATAGCTTTTCAGAGGAGGTGGCACAAGATGAAACCAACACGCGAGGTCGTAGGAGAAGTCGCACGTTAGTTTCAGATTTACTCTCCGACGCATTACCCGTCACGCCACACCGTGGCAGCGGACAGCACGAATGAAAACATTGTTATTGTGCCTATCAAGGCACGCCCCCAGAATCGGTAGCGACGACGAATGAAATGTTATTATACATCCTTTCCCGTTTGGAAGTGTAAATATGAACTTTGTAGACCTTCATTTTTCCCAGCTGGTATCATGTACAACGTCCAGTAATACATGTTTGCAGTGCTATCGCCAGCCAAATCAGTATTGACAGTTAGAGCGACGCAATCGATCATCGATTCGATGATGGTCTCAGCCCATCCAGTAGTTTACGACCAAAAGCTGACGTCAATGCCAGCCCTCGCTTCATTGTCACTTCGCCTTAGCGTATTTTCGTGGCACGTCGGAAAACATGCGAGCTTTACTTGGAGATGATGAGGAAACGGCGATTCTGGAGGAGGCAATGGCCCTCATCGACTCCTGTGAAGGGTTCACAAGTGAAGGAGACAGTAGCAGCGACAGCGCGGGGCTGCGCACGCACGATCAGGTCGATGAACTTAAGTTACTAAACTGCTCAAGAGGGAAACAAGGTCGAAAGAGGGAAAATGTGTTCAAACCAGTGACCAAAAAGAAGCGAATTCGACGCCCCGAGACGTCTTCTACAGCATTCCAACGTCGCAAAAAGGCGGAGGTCATTGCCCTCCGTACGGAAGTGACCGAGCTAGAGACTCGCATCAGTTACCTACAGCAAAAGTGTCAAGACATGTGGGAGAAATGTTTGAGTCGGAACAAAGAAGCAGATATGGAGAGTGGTCAAGCGGTGGTGATCAATTGGTGCGAGGAAGCTGTGAGGCAGTACCGGTACCGCCGGGCAGCGGAAGACTGTAACCGAAAGCTGAAAGAAATATTTGAGAGCCAAAGCCGATTGTCTCGCGATCTTCGAGCGGTTTTATATCAGCGAGGAGCTCTCAATGTGAGTATGTAAGCGTGGCGATTTTCTGTGCGGTAATTGACTTTTGGTCTTGATTTTTATTTTGAAGGGAATGGATGTGGTTTTTGATAAGGTTGCAAAGCATCAACTGGCAGAAATGACATGTGAAGCCTCGTTGTCCACACAGTTCACATTTTTCGAATAATTAAAGTGCGGTCAAGGATCATTCCGGGTTGGATTGCAGCGTAGATGTCATGCAATTGTAAGATTAAGTTAGCTAGAATGTTTCAGCCCACAGGAGAATTTTGTACAGCATTTTCTATCCGAATATCAAACACAACTTGACTGCAAAGATCCATAACATATTGGATACCTTTGCAGGATTACATTAATGATGGATTTTCTTATTGTATTGAACCGTAAAGCTCTTTCCGTTATTTATGCCAAAGCCGATTGAATTGTTTTTATCCAATCCGATGAAGTAAAGAATATCGTACTTTATCGGCGTGAAACGATACGAAATTTTACCAAAATCGATGAAGCCTGTCAAGGTGCACTCGGGGCTGCAGCTGCAGGTGCTTGCGTTGTACAAGAAGGCGCTACAAGCGGCCAAGCGCAAGGACCTGGACACGCTGCGCTACGTGCGAGAGCGCTTCCGCGAGGACGTACGGGGCGTCTATAGTTGATTTCTGTCGCGTAAGCACTCATTATAGTGTGTTAATGTCTCGCACTTGTGGTTATTGACACACAATAGGTGGCCACGGTGGACCGCAAGGATTTTGTCGTGATCGAGTATATGCTACGCAAGGGTGAGCGCGACCTCAAGATGCTGGATAGGATGAAGTCGGCACACTTTACGAGCGTCTCGCACTAGAAGAAGAGAACTAGGGGGCCGATGTAAGGCTACTTTTGCATAGAATGGCTTCACGGTTTTGTGTGAAGGTTGAGCTAATGCAACAAGCTGAGGCTGGAGCGAAGTATCTGGAGTACAGCTAGGTCCAGAATCGTCATATTCGCGACTTTATTATCGACGTCGGAGCTGGGTTTCATAGTTTGTGATGGTATATCTGCGAGTTTGAACTGGATGGCAGAGGAAGTTTAACCGAAGGCTTGCTGTCTACGACTTGCCGTTAGAAGAGTGTGTCTATAATGAACGAAGGCACTCGCTAGCTCAGGGTGAATTTGATCATGTTAATTGGCAGAGCTCATTATTTCGTAAAGAGCTTGGTGTTTATCATCTTGTTCATGCAATCGTATTGACTTTTCGACCAGTGCTAACAGCGCTAATATGGTTCAATAGTATCACACGCTCTTAGCTCTTCGCTGTGTACTGTAGATGGCCGTAACTTCTAATGACGGATAATACTGCGTTCTCGACTTGCTGACCATGACCGAAAGAGATCGCAAGATGGTTGAATCTGGTGTTACTGGTGGCCGAAAACGACCAACAGGTAAAAGTTTGAAGGGAGTGTAGAAGAGAACAGAGATTCTGATTGGGTCCATTCGAAGCTGACAGCCGAGAGCGAATGCAACTGATCATAGATCGTAGTCTCCTTCACCTTCACCATAATTTGTTACCACACCTCGTACAACAATTATTCATTAATAAATAACCAAGAGTATCGTGTTAGTAACATGAATGGAGGATGAATCTAGCATCCAATACCCTTGTATTCCAATAGAATCACTGCACCAGGAGTGTTATTTCTTAAAATGAGTCCATTTACAAATATGCAGCGCCATTGCGCTACTGTACATGTATGTGTCGTAAAGAAGACACGGTGTTATTTTAGGCCGAATAAATGAACACAATATCGCAGAGCAGAGCGCTCTAAACAAGTTCTTTGCAAGTACGACAGCAAGAGACCACGGAGATCGTTAGGATGCGTATTGAACTCGAACAGCGGTGAACCGTGGCGTTCAGTGTGAAGTTGATAGATTCGTGGTGACAAGGCAATAACATCATCATGGGCAACCTCAAAATGCGACTGACTGTGGTTTTGTGATCGCACTGTGTTGCAAATTGATCGGCTACACGGAAGATGTCTGTGTGTGTGACCAGCAGCGTGGTATTTTGCAGATATAACGCTAGATCGCAACGATGATACCAATTGTCCCGAGAATCAATGCAAGGATGGTTCCACCATGCAACCACTGCATGAAACTGAGACCATCGCCAGAGTTTTTCTTGAGAAATAACCGCACCTGTGTCTTTTCTATTGCGGAGAACTGGCTGGTGTCATTACCCTTAAGAGACTTCATAAAGCGCACACCACGGGGATCAGCCTCTTCTACCTTCTTCACTGTTTTGGAATCGATCATCTGCGTGGACGGTAAGTTCAATCTGGCGAGTTTCCCGGATGCAGTTTGGACAGCAACTTTCTGCCCCTCAGACAATTGGATTTTGCTGACTTCAGCGTTTCCTCTCCGCTTAATATTGAAAAGACTCTTGGTTAAAAAAAAATCTTCGTTTGCCGTATCGAGATTTGATATTTTGTTGAGGTGGTGGTCCTCGCTCTCCATCAGCGTCCTAACCGAGCGGTCCTCGTGGTCATTAACGCCAGCCGCTGTCAAGTCATCACAAATACAGGCAACCAGTAGGGGTGCTGGAATAAATCCAAAGCGCATAGGTGATGGAGAATTGCAGAATACGATTGATTGTTACACTTTCAAGATTCGATGGGAGTCGAGAATATATTAGTTAATGCCATACAGTGGTGCACCTCGTTTTCGACACTGGTATGACTCTATAACCTACATAATTTGATGATTACGCTGAGTGCATTGCGCAAATCGTTTGCCAATCTCCGCTGGCTGAATTATCCTCAATGGTTTTCCCCTCCTTGAGAAGGGATGACACGTCGCGCCGCAGCGACCTCACTCTACCGAACATTCGAGTAATTACTGAAGCTCAGTTTATTTTTTGCTGCATCATACCATGGCACATCGCCCCTCCGCCTATTCTACGCTAAGTCTCGCTGACAAGCAGACGATATGCTGCAAAGCTGCTGCTGAGCCGTGGTGGACAGTAACAAAAGTTTCTACGTGGTCATCTACAAGCTTCCACCAAATACAACTGCTGCCTTGCAACCGATGGATCGAGGGATCATCAAGTGCCGCAAGGATCATTACCGGACAACAAAGCAAGAAGCGGAGCTGGACATGTTCTATTGGGGCGAAAACAATAAACCAATCGATATTTAGAAACTGCTGGAGTCACAGCGGAATATCGTGTAAAAGATGGGGCTGCGATTTCTACTGAATTAAAATAATAAGAAACAGTACACTTGGCCCATCTGCGTTCCTGCATAAATTTTCGCCGTTGGCAGACTCTATATGGTCCACCCTGTCGAAAACGAGGTGCACCACTGTACGTACAGCTGTACGTTGTGGAAGTTAGTGGGTTTGACGACATAGCGATGGGCACAACTGGTTCAGCAGCGATAGCACCATTTAATGATCAAACTGCGTCAACAAAGCCATGTCATAATCGACCGCGTCAACAGAGGCACTGCACAAACACAGTATAGGACGTTATGTATCAAGTGCTAAAGTAGCTTTATTTAATGAGAGTGGTTGCTGCTCCAGACTGGTATCATAAAACAGCCAATTTGCCGCTGTTGGCAAGCATTGGTACGTAGCTTCCAGCGAGCGTTGAGCGGGTGCTGTAGTATGATTAAGGGCACTAGTGGAGAGGCTACTCGATCCTCCAAACCGAGCAACATTATGATAAGGGGAAGCAAACAGCGTTGTTGTGTGTTTCGGGAGGGCGATAAGCTGAGTCTCTGTACAGTAATAGCCGTTATTAGGCCATTAATAAGGACAATTATACCCTTATTAAGGACAACAGATGGCTCCCAGTCTGGAACAGCAACATGTGCCTTATTTAATTTTGAGTTGACAACTTTAGTTTGGGCTCTGAGTATAAGATGTTTAAATAGTTTTGGGCCAGAAGAAAATGGTTTGCCTCTTAAAACTCTAGATATAAATCCAGAAAATTTCAAGACCTTCACACAATTCTGACAATGTACTAATATAGACATTAGCATCCTTTCTCTCTGCAAAATCAACTTTAGTGATTCGAGGCTGACTGTTACGTTGGTAATGCATCGAAAAAGAGCACAACCTTATATCCATCCATCGTAACTCCAAGCATGCTTCAAACCATGTCTCGCATACAAATCTAGATATTTTTCGTGCGAAAGTGCGACCATGTATTCCTTTACTAAGTCGTTATCCCAAAAAAAAATTGTATCCCAAGTGCTGGTTATACTAAAATGGACACTTACACACATTTTTTTGCAGCTAGTAGAGGGTAGCTGCAACTTCCTGCTACGATACTACTTCGTCGGACTTCTTTTCAAGGTTGAGGACTTGACCCCTTTTTTATATTCGTACTAGCTTCATTGATCTTCATGGCTTTGGCTACCTTGGCCGCCTTAGCTGCTTCAAGGAAAGATTTCAGGTTAATCTCCGGCCTGTTTAGATCGATTTTGCTATGCTGAACCAACGATTTCCAGACCCCACCGTTGCCGTCTCTTCGGAGGCCGTGAACAACTTCTTGACTTGCGACCCGAAGGGATCTCTTGGCATTGGCGGACGAGTCACGAATTGCTTTCAACAAGAGCCGACAGTCATCAGCAATAAGGGACGCGGCGTCGACGCTGTTGCGAGCCAAAACGACAAAGGCAAGAGCAACGTAAAATATCCTGCGCATGACTGCAGATATTGATTCCGCTGGACGGGAGGTCTTGTGGTCTAGAAAGGAAAAACGCGAAGTGACTACCCCTTGTAGAAGTCTGCCGAGGAACTCGAGTGCTGGCTCTACAGCATTACAGCTACATGTAGAATTACATATTCTATGTATATTCATGGTATACTTGGAATACGTGATTATGCAGAGCTAAGTGCATCATAAACATGATAACGTTGAGCCAAATGTGTCATAAACATTATGACCCTGAGACTAGAGTGTAGAACTAGTAGCGACAATATTTTACTCGTAGTGCTTCAAGTGTGAGGGAGAATGCCAATTCGGGGCCGATCCAAAAAAGTATTTCTAGTTTTACATGCATCTTTTCTTCTAGGACTAATACAACGACACCAAGGGAATCAATCAAAAGCAGTCGATTTGGTCAATTTTTTTGTGCTATTTGTGAACCTTATAACTAGTGCTTCAAATACAATACATCCAATTAATAAAAAAAATCACACCAAGAATGATGATCCTGCCAATTAGCGGTCGCTTCAAGTGACTTGATTTCACTATGTGGTTCGCGTCCAATTAACTATAGACAACGACAGATAAATCCGCCACACTATATAAACCCACCCACCAGTTTGAAACTGAAGTAAAATATTCTATCCAATAGTATGTATTTATTTAAATGCATGGACAGAGTGCCAGGATGTATCAGATTTTGTGAACTAAGTGTATACATACATAGCGTGGCGTTTTGTCGAACGGCCTGGAAAATAAGCCGATGCCCTCGGCAAAATTCAACCCTGCGCAATGGGGTCGGTTATCGACCGACCCCATTGCGCAGGGTTGGATTTCGCTCTCATTAGGATTGGTGGAAACTGGCTTGGAGGTTCCAAAGTTACATTGACGCTGTCGCCAAACGGCTTTC